ATATTTTGAACACTTGTTGAATGTAGAGAACGAATGGGAAGAGCTAACAGAACTACCAGCAGTGGAAAGTCCGATTCAGCAAGTAAGCCTGCAGGAGGTGTCAGCTGCCCTCAAAAAGATGAAGAAGAACAAGTCAGCAGGCACATCGGAGGTGGTGGTAGAGATGTTGGATGCCTTGGGGAGTGAAGGTGCGATGTGGACCCATGAGATCTTAGAAAAGATTTGGAATGGAAAGAACATCCCAGAAGATTGGAGGACAAGTATACTAGTGCCAGTGTATAAACAGAAAGGCGATGTATTAGAATGTGGGAACCACCATGGTATCAAGCTCTTGGAACACCTATTGAAAGTTGAGAAAAAGATCCTAGACCAGAAGATCTGAGAAGTGGTGGATATAGGAAACATGCAGTTTGGCTATAGACCGGGGAGAGGCATGACATATGCTGTATTTATACTCAGGCAGCTCCAAAAGAAACATCTGGAAGGCAACAAGAACCTATACCATGCCTTTGTTGACTTGGAAAAGGCATATGATAGGGTGCCCAGAGAGCTGGTCTATTGGTGTCTACGGAAGAAAGGAGTTCCAGAGCACCTCATTTACATCGTGAAGGATATCTACGAGAGTGTAACCACAATGGTCAGAACACCACAGGGAACATTGGAAGAATTTGAAGTGAAAGTCAGTCTTCACCAAGGATCAAGCCTGAGAGGATTGCTCTGGGAAATGTTGTTCGCCGACGACTTGGTCATTTCATCAAAGAGGAGAGTGGCGCAAAGTATGACCAAGTTGATGAGTTCAAGTATCTCGGCAGCATGATGGCAAGTGAAGGAGGATGTGAGAGAGCAGTGAAAGACCGTGTGAAGGCAGCGTGGGCCAAGAGGCGAGAGGTTTCTGCCATGGTGCGCGACAAAAAGTTACCAGCTAAACTGAAGTTAAAAATGTACAAAACTGTGATAAGACCTGTGTTATTGTAGGGAGCAGAAACTTGAGCCTTCAGAAAGAAAGAAGAGAGCCTGCTTAGGTGGATATTGGGAATCAGTCTAAGAGAGCAGAGAACGAACGAAGAGGTGTTAGCTGAAGCAGGAGTCACAAGCATTAGTAGCAAGATCGAAGAGGCAAGACTTGCATAGTTCAGTCATGTGAAGAGAAGGCATGAGGAAGAAGGCATATGGAAAGCGATGGATCTGCCTATCCCTGGAAAGTGGGACAGAGGAAGACAAAGAAAGAGGTGGCTGGATTGTGTGATGGTTGACATGAAGAAAGGAACATTGAAGAGCAGTGGGCACAAGACAGAAAGAAGTGGAGAAAAGCAGTATGTGGAAAGTGACAAATAAGGGAAATGTCGTAGAAGAATAACATATATATGTATGTGTGTGTATATATATATATATATATATATATATATATATATATATATATATATATATATATGAATATATAATATATATAATATATATAATATATATAATATATATAATATGTATGTATATATTCATATATATATTATATAATTATAT